TTGTATTAAGAAAGAGGGGGACAGATTAAGAGATGGATAAAAGAGGAGTGGAGAAAGCAAAGAAGGAAAAGAAAAAGGTGAAAATGAGAGACAAAGTCAATAGCAAAAGGAGGTGGTAGAGAGATTAGGGGGAAAATAGAGATAAGGTGAGAAATATACAGAGAAAAGATTTTACAGGGTCAGGGAGAGAGGAAAAGTGAGTGGAGAGGAGAAAGTAGAACGGACAGGAAGAGAAGAGAGGAGAAGGAGTAGATTTTGAGAGAACAGTGGAAGAGAGAAGTATGAGAAAGAAAGGGATCTAGAAAGTGAGGAAAGTGGAGGAAAAAAAATGAAAGGAACAGAGCCAGATACATGGAAACATTTGGAAAGGACGAAACATAAGAGGGGCAGGCGTTACTAGGTGCTGTAGAGAAGCAGGGAGAAACAGAGAGTATGAGGGAGGCAGAGAGAGAAGGGGAAGACAGAGGAGATGTGGGGACAGAGACTGGGAGAAAGAAGTAGCTATAGACATGAATGGGAAAACAGTGGACAATCAGAAAGATTGGGGAGAAAGAGAAATGGGCTGTGAAACCAAGAGATGGAACAGTGGAGCAGAAGAGATATAGGAGGAGAAGGTGGGAAGTAGACCTAGAAAACAGAGAGGGGGACACTGGAGAGAAACTGGGACAGGGATAGAAACAGAAAGGACACAGAGAAAGCAGAGCATAGAGCACGTCGGACAGAAAAAAAGTACAACTGTGAAAGAGCAAATTTTTTTGATAATATTTTTGCTGTATTAATAGTATGTAAATACTATGGTTTTCAGTACTATTTTTACTGTTTCTCTATGTTATGTGCTGCTTTTTAACTTACAGAATGATGAAAAGATGAATGAAGTAATGAATCTCGCCCACACATTCCTGCAGAATTTCTGTCGGGGAAACCCACAGAATCAGATTCTTCTTCATAAACATCTGAATTTGTTTTTAACTCCTGGTGTAAGTATTTTAATGACTTCAAATATTATAGTAGAGTGGCCATCAAATTGTTTTAGTATTATTGATGATAAGAATTATATTAATCTTACTCATCTCATTTTGCCCTTGTAAAATTGGAGTATGTTTTATTTCCATTATGGAATCATTTAAAGAAACTTGAAAAATTACATGCTTTTTACTTGCAAATGACAACTTCGTTTATATGTATGTAGTTTAATGTGAGAAAAAAAGATATGGTGGATCAAACAACTAACTCTGTCTATAATGCCACGAGTAAGATAAATATGGAAAACTCAAAGGTAGAGTTAACGCTGACTGGTCTTTAAAGTGTTTTCCAGATACTAGGGAAGAATTAACTTTGAATAATAGGTAAATTAAATAAATCTCAAGAATACTGTTGCCAGCTTGATGGATTTTATGATAATAAGCTCCTTTTCCCAACTAAATTCCCTTGTGAGTTCAGTTTTCTTTTAATAGTTAATGATCTCATTGAATTTTGTAGAATACTTGCACAGAAAACTCACTATGGCTTTGTATAAAATATATAACTGATCACAAGCAGGGAAATTAGCCTAAGTACTGTAGATCTTGTTAAAATTACAAGGGCATCCTCCTCTTTGTTCAGCTTCTTGAAGCAGAAACCATGAGGCACATCTTCATGAACAATTACCATCTGTGCAATGAAATTAGCGAGAGAGTCGTCCAACACTTTGTGCACTGCATCGAGACACATGGCCGCCACGTGGAGTACCTGAGGTTTTTGCAAACGATTGTAAAAGCAGATGGTAAATATGTAAAGAAATGCCAGGATATGGTAATGACAGAGGTATGTTCTTTGTTTACATTTTATCAGCTTCACATAAATAATATGCTCAAATATGTGTTTTCTGTTGATGTAGGGTGAAAAAAACTTCCCACAATGTAGTCTGGATAGTTATTTGATTTAATCATGACTACTTGAGCACAAATATATTTTGCTTCCATCTAGTGAAGCGATATAGCTTAAATGGATTTTATGATTTTCTAAAAAAGTTTCTTTTTCTTTTTGATCCGTAATGAATTTGTGTATTTTAAACAATGGGTAAAATCCAATGAAATCTTCTACATTATTTGGGAATGAAAGTGGCAAAATTTTATGTTTTTAAGTTTTCAATAATAAAACAAAGACATGTAAACTCTGCTTTTCCAGGCCATTAGTATTTGTTCCTGAAGGAACAGGCTTTGAAAAGAATCAAACTAATAAATAGAAACTATCTATTAGTGATTTATTTTGACATGTTGAAACATAGCTATGGATAGAAAGTTCAAATTTAAGAAAAACAAATGGATGAAGTACTTTCTTTTGCCCGTTTCATTTTAAAGTTTGACACTGAGTGAGATTTACTCAGGAAGTTAACTTGCTGGTAACTAAGTGAGATAATTTGGAGAACTGACAGCACTTTGAGCCCATTTGGGTAAGTCACTGCTTCTGTGCCCCAGTGGTACTCTAGCGGACTGGATGGATTAAGCAGCTTCCATCCCTGGCTACCAAATGGTTATCTAGTAGGTTATATTGATCTGGGAGATTTTCATGATTACATATCTTAGATTTGGGAATGGGGGAGATTTCCATATTGATACAACATGAGTCCCTCCTGCCTTATAGGAATCTTAAAATTAATTCAGCTTAAAGCTTTGAATTTTTAAATTTAAATTGTTGTTATTAAACATTTTAAGGAACATTTCAAATTTGTAAAATTTACCTTTTTCTTATCTACATTTACATTCCCATTAATTTTTCATTTGCCCAAAAATGTGGGGACTAGTTTGATTTTTTTATTTATGATCACCAAGGAAAGAATTAAATCGAAAAGTCTCAAATATTTAAGCCAGTCCTATGGATTTATTAGATGAAATGTTTCTACGTGTAAAGAAGTGATTTTAATATTATATTATGTTAATATATAAATACATTTTTGATGCATATACATTCTCTTTCAATAAAACTTTCAAATTAAATCAACGGACAGGCTTATCAGTTTAAATATGTTATCAATTTGAATATTCTAAATAGAAAAAAATTGTATAAGCTGTTATTACCCACCAAAAAATCTCACACTGGGGTTAAAAAATTGGCAGTGGTAGTAGTAAAACAATAAGACATTACTGAGCTTGAGCTATAAAATAGTAACCTCCTGTAATTCTCCACTAGGATTATATAAGCCAATAGAAAGGAAAATTAATATTTTAAAAGCCTCTACCTATTCATTTCTTTCTCTCCCTCTTTTTAAAAAGTCTTTCTTCTTATTTCTCCCTTGTCTGCTTCTACCTCCATTCTCTACTGATGCCTTCCCATGACACATGGAATCTACAGAGTTTGTAGCATTGTATTTGGCTCAATATAGTTGCTTACTTATTCAGTCACTATTGAAGTATGGGGATATTTTGTTCTGCTTTTTGAGTGTAGCCTCAGACTCAGACAATATAATGGTGAATAGAAACAGACACACTTCTTACCCTCATAGAAGTAATCATTTTGGGGAAGTAATACTCGACTTACTGTATTTCTCATGCTTTGGCATTGGAATCCATTTGAAGTAGAAGGAATAACTTTATTCTTTTGGAGAGTTTAATTTCAGCGAGTAATTCACTGATGAGCAGTTCATTATCATCTATGTCACTTAATCCTTGCCCCCACCCACCTCTGCCATAGCTCCCCAACTGGTTTTGATAGCATTCCTAACTGGTCACTTGACATGTGATTATAAACTTTTATACCCTTGTTGCCATCCTGCCTTGGCATAGTTCTGCTTTAGTATCATTATCTATGTTTTCACAGGGAGATGTGTATATTTTCAGATAGACCAAGTCTTTGGAAATAACTGAGGATGAACATTTGAACTACTGTGTATATTCTCTTATTATCATTTCAGTTGATAAATGGAGGTGAAGATGTGCTGATATTTTACAATGATCGAGCATCATTTCCCATCCTTCTCAATATGATGTGTTCAGAGAGAGACCGGGGTGATGAGAGTGGCCCCTTAGCCTACCACATCACACTTGTGGAATTACTGGCAGCATGCACAGAGGGGAAAAATGTCTACACTGAAATCAAGTGCAATTCCCTTCTGCCCCTGGATGACATAGTCAGGGTGGTGACCCACGATGACTGCGTCCCCGAGGTAAGTCTTGGAAAAGCTTAAAAGCTATAGAATTATTATTTTTAAGTTCCTAAGTACCAGAAGTTCACTGTGCTAATAATTATAATGATAGAATATATTTAGTCAAGGAATTGTATTTAGCTGTATACTTAGAAAATTTAAAATGATATGAAAAAGTTTATGTTTTAATTCTACAAGAAGTTCTGAAAGAGAATAAACCTTTTTAAAGTATAGCCACTGCTGGTTTACTGGAAGCTGCTACATAAGACTCTTAAATTCTAAGCACAACAATTTGATCAAACGGAAAGGTTTACTTGTAATCTCTAGTATGTTTTTGAGCATTGAATAGATGCTTCATAAATAATTCACATTCATTGTTTTGGAGAGGCTAAGATAGTACAGCAGGATCACATATTAGACTCTGCAGGTATGTCTTGAATTATGAAATATTATACATTCTTGAATATACGAACATACATTTTACTTCAGTCACATATCTTTTACTCTCTGCCCTGGTTTGGCTCTAATGATAGACAGAACTCAGTAGAAGCTGGTTGTCTGTCAGTGGGATGCTATTAGGAGGTTTCCAGGAATGTACATGCAATCATTTCTTTTTTTTCTACTGTTGTGGTATATTGTTGCAAAGTTCATAAATGTGTGATACACTGAATATGACATAAAACCAAACACTTTAAATCATAATAACTTAAAAGGTATCAGGCTCAGTTCCAGATAGTCTTATTAGTGATGGACTTGAAAGTATATTTTTGTGAAACTTTGTGGAATTATTGATACTTCAAACTAAGGGTAGTTCATGGCCTTGATTGATTTGAAATAAGATGGCACACAGAGGAAGTATAGGGTAGTGATTAAATCTAAGGATTCTGTCCTTATTTGAGCTCCTGTTCTTGGCCATGCTTCTTTCCACATGCTGTTCCCTTGGACTGAACCACTCTTACCTCCCCTCTTTACCTGATTAACTCTCTTCATTCTTCAGCTCTTGATTCAAGCTTTACTACTTTAGGGAAGATTTCCTTGACTTCTCTCGGTAGAGTCTGTAAGCGACTATAATTTGAAATTTGACATCTGAATTGTATTAGATGCTCGTGTCCGTATTCCTCACTCACTTCCACAAGATTATTAGTTCTGTGAGGATAAGAAGTGTGTCTGTTTCTATTCACCATTATATTGCCCAAGTTGGAGCCTACACTCAATAAATGTGTTTTGAATGACTAAACAGATGCATTAAAGAACGAGTCAGAATCCTGGATCCTTATTTCCTAGCTGTGTGACTCCAACAGATTACATAACCTTTCTAAGCTTCAATTTCTACAGTTTTAAAGTGGAAGAATTATAGTATATACCTGATGCTACACAAAGTGCTGAGAATGTTTGGCACCTAGTAAAGACTGTCATGATGATGATGACCATGATGATGATGATGTGCTGAGTGGCTCAGATGTCTCCCTACCCTATGATCAGTCCTTAACACAGACACTTAGCCTTGGAGGTTTGTTTTATACTTGAGCTGAGTAGAGATAAGCACTATGGGCATGAAAGCTGGTTCCATATTTCTTATGCATTTAACTTGGATTCCATTAATCCTTTGAAATTATTTACATCATTTTTATGTACAGCCATTGTTCTGGAAGGAGGGTTTATAACATTCATCAGATTTTTATAACTGAAAAAAAAAAAGAAAGAAAAGAAAATGAAAAGCAAAATAAAAACTACTGCCCTATGCACTTTAGAAATGGTATATGTTGGTGAGACTCATCCCTGGTACTTTATGAGGAATTTTGTTAAATCTGTGTCTTGCACAGAACTTAATTCATTTTAAAATAATAGAAATGTTTTTCCTCTAGGTATAGTAATTGAACTATTTTTGAATGACAATAAAGTATTATTAAACATATTTAAATATTATATTAAGACTCTCTTGGTTGCAAGTGACAGAAACCTAACTTAAACTAGCTTAAACAAAAAAGGGAAGTTGAAGGAGAGTTCTTCGGATAGATTCAGAGGTTCAAACAATGTTAGAATTCTTCCCATCTCTTGTCTCTCTTCCTTCTGTAGTTTTGCCTCATTCCTCCTTTTGAGCATAATTTTCCTCCATGCGCGTGGAGAAGATGGCCTCTTGAAATTCAAGTTTCCCTTGTTCCACTTCAGCAACACTAGTAAGAACAGAGGGAGAGAGAGGGTTATTGACTCCTTCTTTTTTAAAATTATTTATTTATTTTATTGTGTTTTAGGTGAAAGTTTACAGCGCAAATTGTATTCTCGTGCAATATTTGTCTTTTTGTGATTGACTACTTCACTCAGCATAATACCTTCCAGATTCATTCATGTTGTGAGATGTTTCATGGATTCATCATTGTTCTTTATTGTTATATGGTGTTACATTGTGTGTATGTACCATAATTTGTTTATCCGTTCATCTGTTGATGAGCACTTAGGTTGTTTCCATCTTTTTGCTATTGTGAATAATGTTGCAATAAATATGGGTATGCATATGTTCGTGGGACAGCTCTTATTTCTGTAGGATATATTCCTAGGAGTGGGATTGCTGGATCATATGGTATTTCTATTTTTAGCTATTTAAGGAGGCACCATATCATTTTCCATAGTGGTTGTACCATTTTACATTCCCATCAGCAGTGCATAAGAGTTCCAATCTCCCTGCAAATTCTCCAACATTTGTTATTTTCTGTTCTTGTGATTAGTGCCAGTAATGTTGGGCATTGTTGACTTCTAGTGTCTCAAGTATAATAGGTTTGGTTTGAGTAAAGTGCTCATTCTCACACTAATCACTCAGTCTAGGGGAATGGAGTTCTAGGTCATGTGTTCACTTTGGTACAGGGGGTGGAGTATCTCAGCAAAAGAAAGGAAATGGGGATGTTATTTGGGCAGACAAAAAAAATGTGTTAACCATAATCCACTATAGGAACTTTCATAATTGATATTGAAAATGACGTTAAAAAAACTAACCTTTTTTTGTATTTGAAACTTGTGCAGGTTAAAATTGCTTATGTGAACTTTGTTAATCATTGTTACGTTGACACCGAAGTGGAAATGAAAGAAATCTACACTAGTAATCACATTTGGAAATTATTCGAGAACTTCCTGGTAGATATGGCAAGGGTAAGCATTTTGATCCATTAAATAGTATCTCATGTTTAGTAAGGTAGTTGACCTATCAGTATATATTTTGACAAAACAATATGCAACTGGATGAAAATTTATAGTTTATTACATTATATTCACAGTATTGTGAATATTTTAATGAGTTAATGTACACAAAGTATAGTGTATATAGCAACAGATATTGTTCATATTTACCTTTACAACTTACTCTGTTGTTAAACGGAATTTTAGTGGTGTTTTTACATCGGCTAGAGAAGACACTTGGCAGAGATCAATTTGTATTCAATGCCTTACTATGAATGCAATTACAAACCATAGATGGAGAAGACCTCAAGAAGTCTTGACTGCTGCTTTCAGGCAGATAAGTACTTGACCAAACTACTCAGGACTTACTAGCCCACTATTGCTTGTTCAGAGTCTTCCTTGGAAGTGGGCTCCAGTAATTTAATCATTTAATTACTCCTGTCAGTCAATATATATTGTACTTTTTACTTTGAGTCTATTTCCTCTTGTTTGGCTTTTTTTTTGAGGGGGATTGGAGAGGACATGTGGATCTGGTCAGCATTGTCTAGACACTGCCTGGCATATGTTTTTGCTCACTGAGTACATGAATAAATGAAGGAAGAAATTTTCTTCATTGGTGACCATTTATATTAGTACATCTTAGCCTTTTCTTTTGCATGCTGATTATTGCATATATATTTGCTTGCATATTATTTCATTTTATTTTTTGTTTGTTTTGGATCTTCTCTAGTTTTTTTCTTTTAAAGTTATGAGATATAATTTTCAATAAGGTTTCATTCATAGAAGATAGTGTATAGGTAACTTCTTAGACCTGTTGTGAATTATGATGGCCTGTCCCAGTCCCTTTAGCCTTCCTACATGTTCTGAGTGCTGGTAGTTTTATATAGGTCTCATATAGATGTGTTTGGAGAGTGGGAGGTCCGTGTTTCCACTATCTTACAGTAACGGATGCTGGCTACTGGTCATAGCTCACTGCCTCACTTTAACCCCTCTAGAAGGAGGGAGGACGAAGTGGATCTAATACAACATTGACTGTAGTCCCAGACATCTGAGCGCAACCTTCAAACCATGTATTATTCCAGTCCAGGGACTCCTTTTGTTTAGTCAAGGTTTCCAAGTGAAATCTTATTTCATCTTTGGTGTGGTATAGTGAGTGAGATCTTTGCTACATTCAAGCATGTATGAAGTAAGGCAGTTCCTATTTATTTCATTTCTTTAAAACTAAAACTACTTACTACTTTTATAAAATTTCTCAGGCAAATCTGCACCTGTGGAGAAATCATTCTGCTTTTTACAGGACTTTACATACCACTCGTATTTTCTCCGTTGACCTTGTAAAAGTCCTTGTATCTGACTGGTTACAAGTATCTCCAGAGACCTTGAAGCAAAGGATCACTTATATGCTGATGCCTGAGCTTTAAAATTGCACGTGCAAGAAGATATTAAAGAGATTATAGACCGATTTGCAAAGTTTCACAGTGCTATGGACTAAAGATTAGCTTGAAAAAGACCAAGGTCACATTCTAGGCAGCATGAGCTGTAAAGCTAAAAGAATTTTTTTTTTAAACAAAAGAGAGCTGATGATAACTGCCACTGACTTGGAAGCACTTTTTACATTGATGTGTTCATAAGGCAAAGATGTATATATATATATCTTTTCTTAAAAATAAAGAGCATACATGTGGCAAGAATTTTAATTATTTTGATTAGTAAACAATTACTGTTACTTATTATATAAGGCTCTAGGGGAATTCCAAGGTCTTCTTGGCCTATTCACTCATCACGTCCAACCACAACAACTTAGCTCTACTACCAAAGTATTTTTTCTTTCTTTCATGTTTCTCTTTTATTTATGTGTTAAAGCAGCAATTCTCTAATCCTCACCAGGGTTGACAGGGAATCATTTTTGGTGTTTCAGGCAAGGAAAGGGAAACCTGACTTTTCCATATTGGGGATCTGTCTTTCTCTCCCCCGGAAGAAAGATTAAGGAGCCATCATAAACTTTCAAATTCAAGTTATAAAAAAGTATGGCTAACTAAGTAGAATGCGGCCTTCTAAGCAAATATTCAATTCATAATGATTTGTCAAAGTATAGGCAAGTGTTCCTAGAGTAGTAGTTCTCAAATTTTAGGGCCTATCAGTATTATCTGGCAGGCTTGTTAAAAGAGATTTCTGGGCTATACCCCCAGAGTTTCCATTTCAGTAGGTCTGAATAGGCCAGAGAGTTTGCATTTCTGACAAGTTCTCAGGTGATGCTGAAGCTGCTGGTCCAAAGATCATACTTTGAGAACCACTGCAGTAGACCATGGTGGAGAAGAGAAGGAATTTAGAGGAGTTAGCCAAGCCACAGCTCAAGTACAGACTCTGCCTCTTATTATAGCTCAGTTATCTCAGACTAGGTACTTAGCCTCTGTAGTCCTGAGTTTTCTCATTTGTAAAATGAAAACAATAATAGCACATTCTTCATAGGGTTGCTGGGAAGAATCAATGAGATAATGCATATAAAGCTTCTAACAAGTAGCAAATGGTAAGAGAATTGGTAACATCATCAATATTGTCATCAACAGTATTATTACAAGGTTATATGTAATTTCATTTAATTGCCTTGTAAGCTGTCTCCCAAAGCTTCTCCAAGACCTATACCAAATAATAACACTGGGAGTAACCAAAAAAGGAAACAATATAGCACAGGCAAGGGCCAAAAACTATGTCCATGAAGCTGGACATGCACAACAGCGAGTTGACATAAGTAGCCTTGTATGAGATGGACTAAATTCAGATGTTACAATAAAGTTATGAAATACTAGAACAATTTATTTACAGTTAGACTTATAACAATGAGAAATAGTGAAGGTAACCTTGAGGTAAGGTTTTGATAAATCGAACCTAAAGAATCATGGGATTTTAGGGCTGGAAGAGACTAGTAGTCATGCTGTTCAATTTGTTTTGTGCAGTTCATGGTCTTTAGCACATGCCTGAATATTTCCATTAAAAAAGGTCTCACTGTTTCTTTAGACAGCTGGTTTCATTATTGCACAACTTTTCATTGCTAAACACTTACATTTAGCCAAATTTTATTTACTTTTAATTTTTTTTTCGGTCCCTCAGGGAGTTTGGATGCATCTATGATGCTTCCATGACTTTGCCTTGGTCAAGGTACAACTACTTTTATGCTCATTTTGTATTAGGGAATTGGAAACTCAGAGACATTAGGTTTTTTTCTCAAGCAGTGGAGCTGGAATTTAAATCCTAATTAGTCTGATTTAAGAGTTCCTGCTCTTTCTATCCCATCCCCTTGCCTCGCAAGGTTCTGGGACCCAGAGAGAGCAGACAATGAATGGTGTCTAATTATGGCTGTGCTTATCTTGCTGTGGAATCCCTGTGTAATGCAAACATTTAATGCACTCAGTTGCTAACCAAAAGATTGGAAGTTTGAGTCTACCCAGAGGTTCCTTGGAGAAAGACCTGATGATCTACTTTCAAAAACTCAGCCATTGAAAACACTGTGGAGCACTGTTCTAGTCTGACACACATGGGTTCGCCATGAGTCGGAATTGTCTCGATGGTAACTGGTTTTTGTTTTTTGTTTTTATTGTACTTTAGATGAAGGTTTTCAGAACAAACTGGCTTCTCATTAAACAGTTAGTACACATATTGTTTTGTAACATTGGTTACCAACCCCACGACATGTCAACGCTCTCCCTTCTTGACCTTGAGTTCCCTATTACCAGCTTTCTT